TTATTATCACGCAATATTCCATATAGCCTGTACCAGATGCAGGTCTTATCAGTGGAAGAGGCCAATATAATTGTTCTGCGGCTTTGCCTGGATCGAAGTGTGATCCTAATAATATGCCAGCGATTTATACCGTGCAGAAAGGTAAAAAATATCGATTTCGTATAATTAATATGAGGTAAATTAAAATTCAGTATATTTTTGTATTGAATGTACAATTATGGGATAATATCGATCCATTTATATTAACAAATCGTATTTAAAATAGTGCCTATGCTTTTTTCTGGTTTTCGATCGATCAACATATGTTACAAATCATTGAAGTTGATGGAGTTACTACAAAAGCATCAAATGTTAGTGTTTTACCAATTCATATTGGACAACGCTTCTCTGTTATCGTTGAGGCATCTCAAAAAGTTGGCAATTATTGGATACGTTCGGACGTACCAGAAGATTGTGTACCGAGTCCACCTGATACAATAAATCACAACTCGCCATTTGACAATAATAGGAATATAACAGGAATCTTACAATATGAAGGTGCACCTAATGATACACTTCCAACATCCACAAAGGTCAATGATGATTGGTCTAGAAATCTATATCCATGCCGTGATATTGATGTTAATTTAATAAAACCATACGAAGAAGTAGCACCGCCTCTAAAAATTACAGATCAAATTAATGTTACTGTAACGCTTCATCCTGACGAGCATAATACCACCAAAGCTTATATTAATAATCAATCTTGGATTCCTGATATAACAAATCCTTCAATTATGCAAATTATGAGCGAAAATATTAGTGCAACGCAATTTCCTATTAATGCTAATGCATATATGTATGATACTGAGGGTGGTGCTGTGGAAATTGTTCTATTCAGTAATTGTCGTATTTATTTTATATACTTATGCTTATGTCGTCAGGCTATATATGTCATTAGGCATGATATATATATATATGTTAATTAATTTATACTTTTTTTAATTATTAGATCAAAATCTTGCTGAACATCCATTCCACTTGGTATGCTTTTCCATTTTTTAAATTATGATTTTTGAAATAATTGTGTAAAAAAAAATCTTATTTCTGTTTATTTTATTAGCATGGACATAATTTCTTTATTATAGGAATAAGTGCTAATGAGACAATGCCTGTTACTAGTAAATATAACTTGGTCGATCCACCTCTTCGTGTTATCCCTGGTAATGGGTAATTATTTGTCTACATGTATTTTTGTTCTTTTTTATTCTAGACAAGTCTGAACTTAGTCTAAAATTAGTCTGAAATTAATCTTTTTAATAAAAACAAAATAGATGGGCTGTAATCCGTTATATTATCAATAATCCTGGTGTTTGGGCTTTTCATTGTCATATAGAGGTAATATTTACCGTTACATCATATAATATATACAGTACAATCATATAATACAATTATATATAATACATTCATAGTTAAACATTATTACCTAATTTATTTTTATTTTTTTCTTTCAACTATCAGTGGCACGTTGAACTGGGGATGGTATTTCAATTGATCGAACAGCAAGAAAAACTCAAGCAACTCAAACTACCAGATTCTGTTGCAGGATTATGTGCACCAGGTTATCAAAATGCTACAAAACCAATAAAAAGAAAAACTAGGAAGAGTATAGAATTTACTAAAAAACGTCACGCTAGTATTGGTGTTAAATTCAGGAAAATTGTGATTTAATAACTTATTTTTTTTTATTAATAATTTGTAAAATTTTAAGTTTGTACGTACTATTTATTTATTCAATTTTGTTGGTCGTAATTATGATTTTTATGGATCAAAAAATTGTACTTGAATGTAGGATAGTTATATTACTGTAACCTGTGTGTATGTAGAACGATTGGATTTATTCTTTTGTTTTTATTTCTGTAAATTAAATTTTACATTATCGATGTCGATACAATTTCAAGCAAATCAGATTTAAATAATCCATCAATAGAAATGGTTTATTAATAAATGTGACGGCTGATGCTGAAGTTTGGCTGATGTTGAAGCTAAAAAATCTGATTGGTTAGGGTTAGGGTG